TATCTCCCTAACCTTAATTCGACGGTTGTCCATTATCATTTGATGAATTTCTTCGATGTTATCGGTGGTGGTCGCAGTTGTTAGCCGTCCCGAACGCTTATCATCAGCTAAGCTGGTACGACCACGTTTAAATTCAGCCACCCATCTTTTCACGGTGGCAAATGATGGGGCAGAGTCCCCGTAAACAGCGTCCAACTCGGCTTTAATTTGCGTAGACGTATTGCCTTTCAAATGCAAGAATTTAATTATAGCACGATATTCAATTTTTTCCATTTTTACAAAATGACAAATGATTGTCAAACAAGAACTGAACATTCAAAGTGGCCACAATTGTCACAGATATCTTTCGTAAGTATCACGATTATAATATCAGAATGGCTTTGACGAGTAACGCCATCTTCATGATGAGGCTCAAAACTTTTCAGACGACCCTCGTATATTAACTAATTCCTTTTATTTACAATATTTTAGCATTTTCTAAATAAATTTGCCATTCTCATGAATGTATTTTTCAAAGCTTCGAAGCTTCGAAAATGTTATAAACTTCGAAAATTCGAAGTTATCTTCGAATCCTATCAAAAGTAATAGCTCTAATTTGGATTGCGCGCGAGATGATGAGATGAGAAGAGTAATGGAAGGCGGAGCCGAGTCGAAAATCGGCCGAGAAGTGCAAATCGTGCCGAGCCCTACATAGTATAATAGAGATGCGCAAAGTGTCTTGTGATCGTAAATATTTCTCTGATTTGATGGAGTCTTTCGTTTCTAAATGTAATGCTGCCATATGGTGGATGCAAATTTTGTGCATTTATAACGTTTTCGAAGCTTCGAAGCTTTGAAAAATACATTCATGCGAATGGCAAATTTATTCAGAAAATGCTAAAATATGCAACATTCAATGCAAAGCACGAAAAAATAAATAAATATTCACAAAACACATTGAAGGATGAATTTACTAACTTCATTCCACAGGAGTGTTGAGTATATTGACAGTAAATTCAACGTGACAACATTACATTTAAGCCCATGGCACATATAAAAACGTAAGACTAAGGTCGTAAAACGTAATCAGTAAGTAAATTGGCGAATCACGGTAGAGACCGTAAGGCTAGTACCGAATCCAATGTTACGATTTCCTTACTGCTTACGTCTTACGGCCTTACGTTTTCATATGTGCCATGGGCTTTAGACTCCATTCAATCAGAGAAATTAAGATCACGTGACACTTTGCGCACCTCTGTTATACTATAGGGTCTCTAGGTCAAGCGGCTCGTTTTATATTTTTATGCACTTGGCATCGCAATGCCGATAAAATTAATTAATTAATTTGTTAATATTAATTTATTACTACATGATATTTATACATAAGACATAATTAATGATATTAAATGTATATAAAATGTATCTCTGTGGATAGAAAAGGTTTAAAATATATATTAAAATAGAATAAAACCTTTAAAACATTATATTTACCAAATATTTATTTATTATAGTAAAACTTATACATTTGAAATATCAATCAAATTATATGCGTCGCGTGGTTTGAATACATTAAATTATTATACTATCAATTTTTAATTAACATTGTTGTTAATTCTGCGGATGTTGAGATGTATAGTACCACCCAATGGCGCTGTCATGGAACTAGTTTCTAGTTCGATAACCATTGGTATTAGAGTTTTTTTGCATGGTCCCAACTCGTATTTTCTCAAAATTATAATAATTTCCAGTTTTGTTTGTAAAAGTCTCATACGGGAACTTGCGGGATACATGACAGTATATGAGACGTTTTACAAATTATTCCAATAAATAAGAACAAAGTTAATGGCATTGTCTCAATAAATAATAAAAATTTTATATAATATTGTCTCCTTGCAATATTATCTATAATTAAGATAAGTAAATTGTGTGTATAGCTTGAAAGTTCAATTCGATAGTGTCTAGATCATTCTAATAAGCGTATTTATAATACATATACAGATAAAATTTGTGATTCGTATAACAAGGCAAAAAAATGTAAATTTGTGCTTTAGCTGATTCATTCTTGAATTTATACATGTATTATACAATTATCAAAACTTGATTTCTTTCACAACTGATGTCTTTACCTATATATACCTGGTCCGTCTCCAAACGGAAGATAGACACATGACGATCTATTACGTTTGTTCTCCTCGGTGAATCGTTCCGGATCAAATTTATCCGGATTAGGATAGTATTCCGGATCGTAGTGCGTACCAAGTAACGAGATATAAATTGGCGTACCCTTCTCGAGAACTAAATTGGAATTTGGTACTTTGTACGTTTTCCTCGTTATACGATCTAAAAACGGTAACGCCGGGTATATTCTCAAAATTTCGGATACTATCATATCGAGATATGATAGCGATAAAACCTGTTGGCATGTAAATAAGATAAATACTCTACTTTCACAATAACAAAACGAATCTTTTGGACTGAAAATATTTTATCATTTGACCGTTGATAAGGAATGCGTTCGTTATATACATATTATACACACGGTCGCCAGGTCCCGAGCACTGTATGGCTGGGGCCCGAAGGTCCGTGCGCTGGAGATTTCATATTTCGACTGGAGACCGGCCGATTGTTTCATTAAAAAAAAAAGAAAAAAGAAAAAATAAAAAAAAAAAGAAAAAAGCGCAGGGTTTAATTCGTGTTTTGCGACCACTGTTATAGACTTTCTTTTTGTTATTAATATTTGACCAACATAAAGTATCAACACGATCACAGAGACTTTCTTATTATTATTACAAGATTTATACATACAGTACGAACACAATTACAAACTTTTTTATTATTCGTAAAATAACATAAACTGCGAACATAATCGCAGACTTTCTTATTACTTTCCACATCATTTAAATATGTAATTAATAAATACCCCATGGGAGCGAAAAACTGGAGATTTTTCCCGTCTGCTGGAGAACTGGAGATTGGTCCTAAAAACTGGAGTCTCCAGTTGAAATCTGGAGACCTGGCAACCGTGATTATACACTGAGAGAAAACGAAATAGTTATAGCAATTATAAATTTGGCAACTTTTGCAATTGAAGTATCTGTAACTAGTTTTACAAAGTGATATCAACTAAAGTAGTGAGTACTACTGTAGTACTGAGTACTACAAAAATATAGTAACGATAACAATATCGTTTACACTAGTAATTGGTAGTGACATAGTGACTCAACTACTTGTGTAGTTACTTGGACTTTATACAAATAGATATGACAATTACATTTTTCTAATTAAAATAAATATGTTTTTTTAATAAAACAATGCCATAATAACTTATAATGTCTGTTACGTGAACTAGAAGATTTTTAGTATTAGCAACTAATAACGGAACAGCCTAAAATGAGACACGAATATCTCCGAGTGGAAGGGATGCGCTTACCCTATAGGTCGCACGGATTCAGCGCATGGTGTAAACCTAGCCCCTTGCTATTTTTTTTAACGTCTTTTCCGTTTTTAACGTGTTGAGACGTGTCTCACCGCTCACGTACGCCGCGCCGGTTCGCGTAAAGTATCCACGGCAGTGTCTCAAGACCCATCTATTATACAATACACGTAGTAAGCTTGGTTTAGGAAGTAAGAGTAAGAAATAAAATTAATTTATTTCACTTACGCCTATAGGCCCGTCTACAATACACGTAGTAAGCTTGGTTTAAGAAGTAAGAGTAGGTGTAAGAGTTTAGAGTAGGTGTAGATGTAAGCGTAAGCGAAATAAATCAATTTTATTTCTTACTCTTACTTCTTAAACTAAGCTTACTACTGTATTGTAGATGGGCCTTTACTCAGTGTTCTTATCGCCGAGACACTACCGTGTCTCCAGATAGATAAGTGACGATTTCGGCTTGAGCGTGCATTGTAATGCATTTAATGTGATAAATCGAAGGATTCTTTATTTATTTACGCATTCGAGCATCGTATACCGTGGCCGCAGGAACGCCTCGCCATTTATTGAAATATATGTATGTATATTTACATTTTTTCATAATTGTATGGCAAAACAGATTGGCCTTATAAATTACGATTACATAAAATCTATTTTATATACTTTTTCATAAGAAAAGCTCTTTTTATATTTCTATTTAAAGTTTTTTTTTTTTATCTTATTTTTAGTAAGATCTTTACACATGAAACATAAAATGCCCATAATAATTATTCTACAATGTACTCTTTGTTTTTGCTTCTTGCTTCTTACCTCTTGCTTTATTCCTTTTTGCGATATACCTGTTTTATCGATAATTGTATTTTTTGCTACTTTTCTGTTTCTTCCGAAGTTCGTTAATTTTTATCTTAAGCGATAAAAAATGAAAAACGGGTTAAGAAGCCAAAAGACAGGATAAAAAATAGCAAAAAACAAGAAACGAGAAAAAAAACCACATTCTAGAATAGGCTTTAGCTGTATATGTTCTTTTGTAGCAATTTTGATTGTTTTATCACAAATTCAAGAAGATGGATGGCTGTAGTAGCACTAATACTGAATCTTCATCTACAGCTTCCAATAACACTGATTTTCAAGAAACATTATTGGATAATGGTTCAGAAACTGACACTTTTATTCGAAAAAAATTAACAGAGTGGGGGCTTTTCAATTATATTGAGATATTTGGACGTGAGTTGTATTATAAAAATTGACTGATTTTATATATTTTTTTATGTGTACACAAATTAAATAAATTTATATTTTTTAATTTTCTTTTTGTATTCTTTTCATTTTTAATATATAAAGGTATTTTTATACAAGTGAATTAAAAATTTCTTTAATTACTGTTGTAGGTGAAAAAATAGATAAATCAGTATTTCTGTCTATCCCTAATGAGGCAGTTGCGAAGTTAATCCAGCCTATGGAACATTATTACAGATTTATTTTTCAAAAACAGAAATACATAACATCAAATGTAAATATTTTTTTCATTCTATAATAATACATAACATAATGTACTAATAGTTGTTTTTATACATCATATAATACATGTTTATAAAATAATATTTGAAATATCTTTGAGTGCATTCGCTTTGCATGCTCATACGTTGTTAACATCATTTTATCCTTGTTCATCAAATATTAAACACAACAATGAATAATGCTTATAAGATCCAAAGCGAACGCACTTTTAGTATTGTGAAGATTGTGCTTCTTTAATCTTTCTGTCAATGCATGAGTATTCAGGTATTCATATAGAATTTTAAACGATAAAAATTTTTTATTTCTGTTTGAATTTCGTTATAAAACACCTTAAAAATACTATCTTTTGAACAACAAAGAATCGTTTTAAGTAGACTTTATCTCGTTTTCACTTTTACATTTTTAGAAAGAACTTTGTGAAACATGATAGTGAAAAGGTAAAAAATTATGCATTGACAGAAGGCTTAAAGAGATTTCATTACGTTTCATTCTATATGTGTATACCTATATTGTTTTTCTTGAAGTGTTTTTAAATTTATACATTTCTCTTTTTGTAGAGAAAAAAAACCTTATTCTAAAGTATCAAAAACATCTGGAAAGGTAAATTATAATTTCATTTTTTATTTGCACAATATTACTTTACTAAGATATTAAGACCAATAATCAATAAATGTATCATTTTAGCGATCACTGCTGAAACAGACAGTAGAAGGAAAATACTTATTAAAACAATCAGTCATTTTGTGTAGTTCTAATGATTTGGCAAAAATTATAATTGATCATCTCTTGAAGGAAAGGAAAACAAATTAAAGTACGTTAAATATTATTTTATTATTTTGCAATATATATTAAAATATATGTTTTAATGTTATTAATGTATAAAGTATAAAGAAATTATACTTTAATTAGAAGAAAATGTATAAAGAAATTATATGCATAGAAATAAATAATTTATTTCTATTAATAATAACGCATTTCTTTAGAAATCCTATAATAACATATTATAGGATTTCTAAAGAACAATTTATATTCTGGGCTCATGAAATAACGAATATATGGCATGAGGAAGATATTAAAAAATGGTATATACCTTCTAAAAGGGGCAAATCAGTTTCAGGAAAGTTATATTATCATTATACGAATAAACTTAAGAAAATAAAAGCAGCAGTAACAGAATTTAACCAAGAAGAAACTGAACATATAGAAAAGCAAATTGAGGAGGAAGCTGATGTGTATATTTCTGAATTGAATAATATGAATACATCTTTAGATGATAAGAAGAAAATTTTATCTCTATGGGAAAAAACTTTTGTCTATCGTAAAAAAGCTTACGGAAATAATATTGCAAAGTATTTTGACAGATATGTCTACAGTTGCGCCCACCGTTAGGAATACAACTTATTGAATTAGATTTTAAATTATTAAATATAGCGCAAATCAATACTTTAGAAAAAAAAGTGGCCGGTTTTGCATCCAGACATAATTCGGTTGGCAAAAAAACGATCAATAGCATCAAATTTATTACAAGATTTCAATAAAGTACCAGCAGATGTACAAGCCTGGCTAGTTTTACCACATTTATTCAAACCAGTGCTGAAAAAAACAGGTTTATCAAAAAAGCCATGGAAACCATCATACAAAGAACAATCTGATGGATTTATTACTTGGATAAATGTAAGTTTTATAATTTCATCCTAATGTTATAATGTTACTTTATTTTATAATTCTATTTTTTGTGTATAGGTGATAACTGATATTGAAAAAGTAATTTCTACACATCGAAAATTGATGAACGATTATAAATTAACGTTGCAACCTTTCGTGATTGTGGTATTATTTGAAGAAAAAGTTGCAGCTGCTTATGTTATAATTAATGATGAAAAATACCAGTTTCAAGATGTTACTAATGCTATAGCTTTCTGTTGGAAATCTTTTTTTGTTTTGGATGCTGCATATCCCGTCTCATGTGAAGCAATTTGGATATATATTGAAGAAGAAATTTATGAATGCAAAAAAAGCTAAAACAAGTTATCGAAGCGTTAAATGATGGGTGAGAGATTCTTTAAAAAATATAAATAATGAAAGTACCGATTGCGAATCTTCAATAGTTACACAATTCTCAACAAATTCTAGCTTTGAACTTTCAGATACAGATGACACTGAATAATTATTTATTTTTTCCTAACTTTCAGTTTCGTTAAAATAAAAAGAGATATATAGTTTATATATGTTTTAAATAATATTAAGTACAATGGAAGCTCGTTGTCCTGAATGTTCAAAGCTACTAAAGGGAAAATTAATGCACTATCATATGCATTATTTACATAAAAAAAGTGTTGTTTATGTCTGTGCTGGAAATTCATGCAATAGGACGTTTAATACTTGGGGTTCTCTTCGTAATCATTACAGAAGATGTAATAAATTATTTGGAAATATTGATGTACCTACTTATAGTGCAAATAATGATTATATAATACAAATATCAACTATGACAATTGTGAGTTGAAAGAGTCAGAGAAAGAAGATTGTATTACAATTATTAACAATATTTTACTTAATTTAACTGAAAATACAAGTTCTCATTTTTTGATAACGCACTAAAGATTGCAGCAACTCTTTATGGCAATATTAAAATGAACCGTATTCAGGCTGATAACATAATAACTTTATTCCATGAAACTTTAAATAGTGAGTTTATGAATTCATTAAAAGAATTTCTTGAAAAACATATTAATAAACCTTCTTTAGATGAATTTAAAAGACGATTTAATGATCTTCAGTCAAGCTTTTCACAAATAAATACAGAGCATAAATGTTTCGAAGAATTACGTAAACGTAATTGTCTTATAGATTGTAAAACTGTTACGTACGGTTATAGAGAAGAATTAAATATAAGTGCAATATAATATAAAAAAATTGTGGATCTATTATTTCTATAGCATTTATTTAAAAAAAATGTTTTGAAATACCTAATATTTTTAGAAAAACTGAAAAATACTTAACAAAATTACAATCGGAAAAAAGTATATCTAATATCATACAAACTGATTTTTGGAAATCAAAAATTTCAGGATCAAATAAAATTACCTTGCCCCTATTTTTATATGAGGATGATTTTGAGTGTGGTAATCCATTGGGCTCACATATACTGTTTATAAAATATCTGGAATGTATATTTCTTTACCGTGTTTACCATTAGAATTTCGATCAAAGCTTGACAGTATATTCCTTTTGCAAATTGTTCATTCCAGTGATGTAAAAGAGTATAAACCTGAAGTAATATATGGGCATGTCATTAAATAGTTTAGCAACTGAAGGAATTGAAATTGATATTGATGGAAAACTAATTACTATTTTATTCAAAGTTGCTTTAATCATTGGTGACAACTTAGGACTAAATTCGATTCTTGGTTTTACAACAAGCTTCAATTCTAACTTTTTTTGTAGATTTTGTAAAGTCACTAAAAATATATCAAAGACACAATATAAACAAAATAATTGTTTTTTGCGTAATAAAGAAAATTATGATTCGGACGTTATGAAAAATGTACAAAGAACGGGAATTAGAGTAAAATTTGTTTGGAACGATGTTCTTGATTTCCATATTACAGAGAATTTTGCGTTGACATAATGCATGATTTATTTGAAAGTGTCTGCAACTATGAAATAGGACTTATTTTACATCAATTAATTTGTATTAAAAAATTATTTACGTTAGAAGTTCTTAATTTCAAGTTAAAATATTTTAAATATCCAGATAACGATAATAAGCCTCCACTCATAACAGCTTTGCAATTACAAAAAAAGTATATAAAACTGTCAGCTGCGGAAATGAAAAGTTTTATTTTAAATGCATCTTTAATTTTCGGTGATCTCATTTCACGAGGAAACATCTTTTGAGATTTACTCGTATATATATTATTGAGACAAATAGTTAGTATTGTGTTACAATCTATTATTATCAGTAATGATATTATTTACTTGAAGAACTTGTCGAGAAACATCACGTATTATATGTTAAACTTTTTCAAGATACCTTAAAACCAAAGCATCATTTTATGATTCATTATGCTCATATTATGAAAATTGTAGGGCCTTTAATTACCATCTGAACAATGCGTTTCGAAGCTAAACATCGACCATTAAAACAAAGTGCATTAATGTCAAACAATAAAATTAATTTGCCTTTAACTATTGCTATTAAACATCAATTGCATATGAGTGCGCTATTTCTAGATAATAAAGTTTTTGGAGAATCTATCACTTATAAAAAATTGGAATATTTTGATAAACGTCTTATTGTGTAAATTTTTCAAACATTTTAAATGATTATGATCAAATAAAATATGTTATTACTGGAAGTATTAAATACAATGTCAATACTGTTATTAAACTTTCTGCTGATAATTTACCAAAATATGGCCTTATAACTTATATCTTTCGAAAAAAAAATAATGATCGTAATATTAATAATTTTGCTTTTATTGTAAAGATTCTAAAATGCGTAGAGAAAGATAATCATTTGCAAAGTTATCGATTAACAGATATGAAAGAGTATGAGTTTGTACGATACGAATCACTTTTACGTCGTAATTTCGAATGATATGTTATATATTGCATATGATAATCACATGTTTTAATATTGATCTTAATATTTTAATTGATACTTATTACATCACTTATTACAATAAATATACTTATTGCATATATGCTCTTATTATTATTAATTTCAATATATAATAAAATATTTTGTATTATTATACAAAACATTTATAATATCGTAATAAGTATCAATTAAAATATTAAGATCAATATTAAAACATGTGATTACCATATGCAATATATAACATATCATTCGAAATTACGACGTAATTTCGTGATTCAAAAAATAAAAGTGATTCGTATCGTACAAACTCATACTCTTTCATATCTGTTAATCGATAACTTTGCAAATGATTATCTTTCTCTACGCATTTTAGAATCTTTACAATAAAAGCAAAATTATTAATATTACGATCATTATTTTTTTTTCGAAAGATATAAGTTATAAGGCCATATTTTGGTAAATTATCAGCAGAAAGTTTAATAACAGTATTGACATTGTATTTAATACTTCCAGTAATAACATATTTTATTTGATCATAATCATTTAAAATGTTTGAAAAATTTATACATTATAAAAAAAAATACATTACACAACATGCTCAGAAAAACATTTTTTTTTAAATAAATTTCTTCTTAATGCGCTTCTTTATGTAACATAATATTAATTAAAATGTTGTAACATAATATTAATTAAAATGTTAAAAAAATATGTTTTGAATATTATATGTTTTGAATATTATATGGAATAAAGGTTATATTTTTCGTATAAAAATTGAGTAATTCTCTTATACTTCGAAAATACTTGTGATTAACCTAAAAATAAAAAGCAATATTAATGATATTATATCTGTTTATAAAACTAATTGTTTATTGTACTAGTTACTACATAAAGTATGTTTGTGCAATAAAATAAATATTGTTAAAAAAAAACAAATAAGAAAATATTGTTTATGTAACTCTAGAAATTATATTCTGTGTACTATAAAAATTGTGTTTTCTCTTTATATTTAAAAAACTACTTAATATCATTATAATAGTATTATTCATATTACTATAACACATATTTTGCGTTAATGATATATTTTTCGTTCAGGTGACTATTTTGCATTACTATTTTTTTGTTGTTCACCCAACGATCACTACAAATAGTCAATTTTACTACATTTTTTAAATATATATTACTTATTTATTATTTTTATTATAACTTTATAATACATAATTGAGGCGCTATTTCACTACAATTTACTGATACGACAGTAAAGCAACAGTTACTGATACGACTTTTTTCTCTGAGTGTATAATTTACTGGATTATTTACATTGAAAATGACCCGACCGAAGTCGAAACTGTCTGTTTACTTTAAGTTCATGTTTTAATTTTAAGTTTAATGCTAAATATGCGTTTTATGTTATCTCTTTTGAGATATTCAATTAACGCTAAATTATTTTATTGTTATTTTTATATTAAAGGAATTTTTTAGAAAATGTCTTTTGTTGTATATGGCTCATAACTCTTCTCATTTGTCAATTTATTCTCATTGAGCCTTATTTAAAAGTTTTTTTTACATACACGCGGGTGAGATGAAGCGTTACCATAATAACTTCAATTTTACATTCTCATTTATTAGAACTCACTTCAATGTTGGTACTTGCGAAACTTTGAAAAATATTTGCAACTTAATCAAATTAAGCATCAATATCAGAGTACGAATAAAATTTCTTAATTCATGTATTAAATTTAATTTAGTTCCTACGCATCTTAATAGAGTTATTAACACAAATAATCTGTCTTTTTATAATAAACAATCTTATAATAAATTGAGGAATATTCAACGAAATAATGTAAAAGCCATTTCACGTTTAGAATTAAAAGATGCACATCGACAGTTGCATTATACTAGGAACAATATCTTCAACCTTATTAATGCAATCCATGGTCTTTTGCCTTCTTCCATGATTTGTGAATTTTTTAAGTATTTACATCACATTAATCGTGTTTATTTTTATGATAAAAATTTTAGAATTGACAAAAGATTAATTGGCTTAAATTAAAATATATTAATACAAAAAATCTAGAATAAAACCTATTGAATACTTTGCGACTTCTAACAGAGGTTGTTGTAATAAGGTACACCTAAAATCCAATTTTAGTCATGATATTGAAAGCATTAATATTTCACCAGATAATTTCGGAGTAGCCACTCTCAATAATTTGAATGATAAATGGTTTTTGAATCTTAGTGATATTGACATTCCCTTAGAAGCTAAATATTTATTGCAATTAGGAGAAGGTTTCGGATTACCGGTTAACAAGAATAACATAGATAGAACAACAATTGAGTTTATTAAACATATTGAAAACAATATTAACGGTCGCCCTGAGAATACAATTAATTTCGTTAGACACAACACAACTACAATACTAGAAAAATTCCATAAAGATTTTCCAAACAATAAACCAAACGAGAGATTACTGTGTGATTGGCAAAAATATCAACTAAAGTTTTTTTAAAAAATCACCCTAACTTATTAATTACTAATGCGGATAAAGGGAATGTCACTGTTGCTGTGAACAAAAGCAATTACATAGATAATATGGAGGTGATTTTATCAGACAATAACACATATGAAGTTATCAATAAGGATCCGACAAAAAAACTCACGAGTGACTTGCGCTCTCTATTAGTTAGATGGAAAGTGAAAGGGTTTATAGATGATTCCACATATCGAAGATTATTCACGAGTGACGGCATTATTCCCAGAGCATATGGTTTAACCAAGATTTCCCGGGAAAAAATAATAATGTGTCGCGTTTATAACTGTGACTTGTAGCTTCTACAAAAATAACTAATTAATAAAATCTCATTAATAAGTAATTATGCCATTAACGATTCATTGTAAAAAATAATACAGAAAAACAGATTACGTTGCATATAAATCATAATTCGTGACATTAATTATATGGAACGCTGCTTGAAAAACACGCAATCAATACACTTTTCAATGCTGTTTTATCTTTAAAAAGAGTTAAGATATCGTCGTATGTAGCGTAGATGTAATTTATCTATTAAAGCTAACGGCTAGACCAAGTAAGTTAGCAAAAAAAAAAAATTGAAAATAGAATCGTAGTATGAAAAACATTTTTAACGTAAAAATATATTATAAAAATCAACCAATCGTTATAAACAAATTATTAAGTATTAATTGTAAAGGAATTGATTACGTTAATCAATTCTATGGAAAAATTAAAGTGGATAAAAAAAATGGATAAAAAAAGCACATATAACTTTTATTTAATCGTTCTTCATTTATGCAAAAAATATTAAATATTATATATTATTATATAACAATTCTTTCTATTATATATTCACATGATTAGAGCAAAAAAGTTAGCAAAAAAGCAATTGCAAAAATTTATATGTATTCCTTTTATAATTTTTCCCACAGAAGCATTTAACGTAATCAGTATCCCTTTATAGAATTTACGGTCAATATTTAATGGGAACTTTCCAATTGTATGATCACTTATTTCGTACACGTGGCGACACAAGTTGTGTTCCAGTTGCTGTAATAGTCGACAAAACACTACACATCTGTACTCAGCCTGAGGGTTAGATTACTGGTCGGCTGTGTAAGCTTATATTTTCTAGTAATAATTACGTATTAACTTCGTGATTTAATCTTTGCAATCGCGGTGATTATAAATGAGGTTCATACGATGTTGAATAGTCGGAATTTTTACTTTTTTTAATACAGGTGGGAGAAGCTACATTTAATTTAACTTTATCAGGAATTGTGCAAAACGTACACTTTCTGTTCCAATTGAGTCGTGCACAATGCTACACTTTGTATATTCCTATGTACGTTT